TGACTCGTAGTAGTATCTAATGTCTATAGTCCAGCTAAACGCTGGCCAATAAACAACAGAATTGATTTGTCCTTGCCTAATCACACACGTGTTTTCCTTGTTTCAAGGACCCACACGTTGCATTTCCAGCTGTAATAATAATTCATTGAAATTCCGTAGACCACTTCTTTTCCTTTTCTTTTGTTTTTCTTTTGCTTTTTTATTTTTTATTTTTTTATTTTTTTTGGTGCAAGTGTTGCTAGACACACTTTTTAGGATTCATAAAAATGTGAAATTAATTAATAACTTATTAATATATAAGTATACATGAATATTATATGTTAAATTATAGGTTAGATAACAATAACATATCATATTTTTATAAATTTAATCTATCAAAATATAATCAAATAATTATCAAGGTTAAAATGCGCTAGGCGCTCGCTGGGTGGCGGACATGAGCTTAGCTCCTACAATGCCAAAGTAGAGATTATTCAAAGCTTACACAGGGGCCTAAAAATACTAATAAATTTATTTATATTTAAAATGCGTAAATTATAACTATATTTTATAAAATATAATAATTAGTATGGCCAAATATAAATTTTTGAAAATATTAAATACTTATAATTATTATATTAATTTTACCTTATTTATTTATTTTATAATACTATACATTTTATGTATAAAAATCAAAATTTATTTTATTATATTTAAGATATAAAAATAAAAATTTATTTTATTATTTATATATTTATAAATAAAAAAAAGCATTTGATTTTTCGCATAAAGTATTTACTATATTGAGTAATATTTTTTGCCAAAATTTGTAAAATCCTACCTAAATTAATGTAATTATGTACAAAGTCATTTTGGTCAAATATTGCTGCTATTATCTTTATTAGTACATGATTTTAATTTGGAATATAATATATTGACAAAACTTGCAGCTATTACTTTTATTAGTTGCATGGTTTAAATTTGATATATAAGATATTACAAAAATAAAAATATTTTTATTTAAAATTAAAGAGAAAAAAATAGTTAATCATAATTTGCGGGTCAATATTAACTTATACGTAAACAAAATAGTCACTTGTTTATAGTTTAACAAATTATTCAATAAATTAAGTATCAATATTAACTTGGACGTAACAAAATAGTCAATTATTTTTAGTTTTATATATTACTCAACCACTTAATTTTTTTTTTTTTTTGAATAGTTTATACAAAAATAGATTATTTTAAGTAATGAAATTATATAAATTTTATATTTATACTTATTATTCACATAAGTTGTTAAATACATGATAACATTTTACTAAAACAACTATTTTATGGAATCACATTATAGTCAAATCAAATTTCTGAATAAAATTTTTAAAATAATACTTATTTTGAAATGAATATATAATGTGATTTATTATCAGTTATGTGCACCACACGAGTTATAAACAATTTTAAATAGACATTTTTATATAATTTTGTACAATTTAAACCTTATATAACATTTTCAATAAATTAGAATAAGAAATTGTATTACATATTGATTCCATATTTTTAATTTATAATTATTACTTAATAAGAATTTTTAATTTATAAATATTAGTGAATATCTCTTACCCGTGCACTGCACGGGAGTCATACTAGCTTAATATATTCACATAACATCGCCCCTATATATAATTCCCGAATGCGCTGAGCCTACGTGGCTGCTTCTGGTGCTTCGGAATCCTACTTGGCGAAGAATCATGCTTCGTAATTAGGTTCAGACAAATAATATTGATTGATATATTAATAATTAATATCTAGGTTCGGACATTCCATAAATATTATTTAGCTAACTTAGGTATTTCAATATCACTTGTACTAATATAACCCTTTAATTCTTTGTAATTTTACATAGTAAGACACTAAGTGACTAATATATCCCTGACTTTTGATTTGTTTCCTTCAATTAGCTATTGAATTATAAATGTATTTTAAAAGTTGATAACTTTTGTATTTCTTATCGGTTTTACATATATAATATATCAAATTAATCATCTTTTCATGATCTTCGATTTGACATCCATATTGTATATATAAAATAAATAAATAATATTTACCTTATAATAATAAAAAATAATATTTATTAAATTTTATTAGAAAAATAAAATTATTTCTCAATTGATATATTTTTGTTTAATGTAGTTATATGTTGTAAGTTAAAAAATTATTATAATATAACACAAGTATGTCACACAAATAAAAATGTCATACTAAATATATAATAATATATATTTTTATAAAAGTTATTTTAATTTTCAACTACTTTTTCTCAATAATTTTAGATTTTAAGGAAAAAATTAGCAAGCGCCCGTGTAATACACGGGCGTTGTACTAGTATTTTATAAGTGGGAAAACAAATTTAACCTAGTATTTTTCTTTTAAGTTTGTTATATAAAATTATAATGGTGATAAATTGCATTGCAAAGTATACGCAAATAACAAGAATCCTTATATATAAAACTCTAATATGCTACAATTTATTTTATCTCAATGAACAATAAATTTTGAGTCGAATTTTAAAATTAATATAGAGATTCAAAATATATAAGTCATTTTTTTTTTTTTTTAGAATCATGTTACAGTTTTTTAATTGGATGAGACAAATTGTTAATTTGGTATATTTTAAAAGACTATAGCTGAGAAGCTAGCTTAATAAAAATTTCATCGGGCTTATTTGATAATCTATTAATATATAATAAGGATTAACATAATTCATTTTAGAAACTCTTTCACGCTAAATTCATTAATTACATGCTAAATTTAGAAATTTAGGACAATTTTGGATAAGAAATTAATGAGCATCCAGAATTTTAGAAATAAATTGATACAATCTGATTTTTATTCACTTTTCAAAATTTGGTTAGATATTGATCTATGAAATAAAATGGTGCATCCAGAATTTTAGGAATAAACTGATATAATCTCAATTTGCTAATACGTAGGCAAAATCTATGGAATAATATAATTCTGGCATGGACATGGTCGTGCATCTCCACTGCTTCCCGATTGACCTCTTACACCTCAAAGGTATTTATCCTTCCACAAATATATATATATATATATATATATATATATATATATATTATTTATTTAATGTTTTAGAAATTTTAATACAATGATTAATTAGAATCAAACATTCTACAAATTTATAAAAAAAATTACCATTTAATCATTTGTATTCTTATAACTACAAATGGTTATTTTACTCTTTTCCTGATAAATTACCTTAAATAATATTTTCATATCAATATTATTTTACATTATCTACATCCATATATATAAAATAACAATGTAAATCAAATTTAATAGCATTTCTTTCAATTATGCATTAATACGTTCTAATTATATAAATTTTACACAATTCCTTAAAACAAACCTCGAAGCATTAATTGCAATCAGTTTTAACTTACCTCGACAACCGGATTTCTTGTTTTAAAAAAAATATTTCATAATATTTGATTAAACACTAAATGCGGTTGTTTAGAATCAATTCTATTTAAAAGCAATGTTATTATGTAATCAAATATTATGAAGTATCATTTTAAAATCTGTATAGTTATGGAATCAAAATAATTTAACCACGATTCAATATTTTTAATTCAATCTATATTTCTTTTAGACTTTTCAATTCATTTTAATATAACATAAATTTGTCGTAAAAATGAGAGTAGAACTTTACATAATCATGGTATCAATATTAATAATATAAATGATAAATAAAAAATTTAATTATTGGGGAACAGATGGGAAGTTCGCCCGGAAGTTCTATTCCTGGACTGTACACTTTATTATTTAAATTTTTTATTTTTTTCATATATAGTTATACAATATATGCAACTTAACTACAAGTAAAAAAATATAGTTAGTTTTTTGAGCTACAACTTAACTACAATATATTCGCCTGGTATCATTATTATTTTTATCAATTTAGTTATGAAACATTTTTTTTTCATTTAAAAATAGTGATTTAATGTCATCCGATTCATTTAGTTAGTTTTTTGAGCTACAAATGATAAAATATCGTTGTTATTTTTTTAAATGTAATTATTTTTGTAAATATTGTTTTACACAAGATACAATCAAAAATCCAAATATCTGTTAAAACATAACAAAAACAAAATTGCTCTCAATATTGGAATGAATTTGGAATAAAAAACGAGAATGATTGAAAAAAAAAGATATACTCAAAATCCACCCTTTAAGGTAACAACTTTTTATATATTCTATATAAAATTAAACTTCACCAGATAAATCATATCTTTATTATTTATCACAATAATACATGTTTACACTATAATTTTAATTTGTGGTGCTAATATAATGAAAATCAACAAAATAAATAAATAAATAAATAAAGTAAGAATGTGTCAATGCAATTCACAATTACCAAGTGGAGAGCAATCTTGGTAAATATTGGTCTACGGTTGCCAAGTGCAATGTAATTTTGCATAGAAAAATGACGATGTTTTTAATAATGTATGACTTTTTCATGACGAACATTTTACAATTACCTAACAAATACTCTATGTAATATAACTTAATGATTAATAACTTAATTATAAATTTTACCAAAACAATTACAGCCCGTGCATCACACGGGGTTACGTACTAGTTTATCCAAAAAAGCTTATGAGATAAACTCAAATTTAAAAAAAAAAAAAAACTCGTCCCACAAACTTATTTAAATAAAAAAAGTTTATAAACTAGCCAAATAAGCAGGCTAATTGTCAATCAAATGTAGCCTAAAAATGTAGAAAATGCTATTACAATATACTACAAGTTGCAACATATATGAAATCCAAGTTGTAGTGCATTAACGTTCCGGGTCATATTTTTATTTGGTTCTCTTCTCTCTCCAGTTAATGTGTGATTATAAATTAAAAGTTATATACACACCCACCCTCACATTCCCAAATTATACACTTCACTATTCCTCTCTCATCCTTATACTAGCTGCCGCATAAAAAGCAATGAACCGGAAAACGGGATTCCTGCTCGCATTCATCTGCGTCGCCGTCTCTATCGTCGGCGGCCAGCCTCCGGCTTCCGCGCCAGCCGCCGGCACCATCACCACCCCACCCGCTGCTTCACCCTCCACAACAGCCACTCCACCACCCGCATCGACCCCACCGCCGGCGTCTCCGGTCTCATCTCCACCGGCATCAGCTCCAGCCTCGACCCCACCGACTCCCGCGCCGGTCAGCTCTCCTCCGTCGCCGGCGCCGGCGAGCCCCCCGCCTGTTCCCCCGCCCACCATCTCCTCGCCGCCTCCAGCCGCGGCCCCGGTCCAGTTTCCCCCGTCTTCGGCTCCCGAGGTCGCGACCCCGCCTGCCGAGCAGTCCCCTCCGCCGGCGCCGGCTTCCGCCCCGCCCACTGAGACGCCGGTGGAGGCCCCTGCTCCCAGCAAGAGGTCCAAGAGGCACCACGCACCTGCACCGACCCCGGAGCTGCTGCTTGGCCCACCCGCGCCGCCGGCGGAAGCTCCCGGACCTGGTGCCGACTCCATTTCTCCTGGTCCTGCGTCGGCCGAGGATGTGGTAAGAAGATTCTTAAACTCTTCATTGTTGCTAACATGCGCCGCATTGATGCTAACATGCACTTCCAGATCTGAAACAGTGAAACCACTTGGCATTGTTTCTTTTCCTTTTTCTTGTTTTTTTTTTCAAAAAAAAAATAAAAAATAAAGAGACAAAATCATAGTAAAGAGAGTTTTCTCAGACGAGTTAGATCTAGCCTTATATGGTGGTTATAACTTATAATTATATTATTTGAATGTTAGCCACAACACAATACGAAAGTTGATTCAGATCTAGCCTAAAATGGTGAATATTTAAGGTTGTTCAAATATATGTGTCGCATATTTGATGAACTAAAGTTATTGATGAATGATGATATATCCAGGAAAGAGAAATGCTACGGTCCCGTTACGGAACCATTCCATCAGAATATGTAGTCGTTAGATCAACTATACCCAACGATTACATGATGACCTAACGACATATACAAACACTCGGAAAGGTTCCGTAACGGGATAAAACTAAAACAGTTCTTGTATCAAACTAGGCTTATAGTAGATCTGAGTTTTATCCATAGCTCGCTTGCCGTCAAATGTTTTTTGGGATTTTTTTTTCTTCTATTGCAATATTTGTTTAAAAATAATCTCTTAATTATGTGTGTGCATATACTATGTACATTATACAATATGTGCAATAAATTTCAGACCAACTACATATACGATTTTATCAGATCTCAACTGATAATTATTATACATTGATGCGAATGTGAATACAATAAAGAATGGCTACTGCACATTCTGACAAGTAGAGGTGCCAAGGGTCGACCCGGCCCGAAACTGGCCCAAAACCGGGCCGGACTTACATGTCTTGGAACCGGACCCTGGTAAAATCGGGCCGGTTCTGAGTTCAGCTTTTGAGGTCAGGTGACCCGGGACTGGGCTGGGTGGTGAACCGGTCCGGCTGATTGCCATCTCTGTCAAGCAGTAATAAATAATACTGTCTCTTATTTTTATTATTTGTCACTCTGATTTAATTGATTATTGATTAAATAAATATCGTTTTGACTTAATTAGTGTCTTGCTTCTCAAAACGACAAATAACAAAAATAAGAGGGAATAATACATACATATGCCTGTGGAATTATTATGAGTTGTTTGTAATAATAATAAATGAAATAATGGCAATTTAAATATTTGATGGTGAAAATAATATAATTGTGGGGTTTGATTGCAGAGTGGAGCAGAGAGATTAATGAGCGTCCAGAAGCTGCTGCTGGGAAGTTTGGCCGCGTTTGGCTGCCTCTTTTTCCTCGTCTAGATTAAAAAATAAAAAAAAAAAATTAATAAATATTACTTATTTTGTGAAAATTTGCACCGACATGTTTGTCGGGTTTTCAACTATTCGGATCCGCTTGGGGATTTACCACATTTGTATTCATTGAGAGTGAATTTTGAGGGAGGCATTTTCTACTCTTTTTTTTTTCATTTTTTTTTTTACAATTTTTAATTCACTTGTCATTTTGAACTATTTGTACTCTTGTATTTTGTAGCACCTCCCATACATTTGTAGTTGATATTATTATTGAGTTATTATTTATGAATTGTTTGCTTGTTAGTTTTTTGTTATTTTCTTCTTGTTATGTGGATGTGATTTTGGGGAAGCTAGGCAAATATTTACTACTAGCTAGAAAGAAATAGTAAAAATAAGTTTGTCTTATTTATTGGAGTATTCTAATTTATGACATGATAAATTAGGACTTATTTTAACACTAAAAAGTTAGTAAATCTAAAATTGATTCATACACTAAATAGGAAAAATCGTGTTAAAATTGAATGTGACGAAGCGTCGTCTAAATCGATTGCTAAATACACTAATCCTTTCAAAGTAATTCACATTATTGAATGTGATTTAAGTGTTTGTGCAAAATCGAGGAGGAAGAAATACAATGTATGAATGCAAAAAGTGTTGTCATAAAGCTTTTGTAAGTTTAAGCCATATAAGAATGAGACTAATATTCGACGAAATGGTTTAAAGAAAGAATCATGCTTGAGTAGGTATAGTTTCTTATTGGTAAACTTGAACTTAAGCTAAAAGCTTAAGTGAGAAGCAATTAATTAGAGAAAATTTCATTTCGCTGGAAAAATACCACACAAAGGTAGAAACGAAACTACGTCTGAGTTATAAAAAAGGGCAAAATTCATTGTATATAGACCTTGAAATGTGGGGGGTGTTTGAGCCAAAGTACAAATATATAAAATAACGTCTTGAAAAGATTGGTAAATTATTTTTTCAAATGAATGACAACGTGTGTCTACATTAAAGGTTCCACCGACCTCTTTGTGATCGTAAGCTTTATGTGGACAATATGTTAATCTTGGAAAACAACGTTGATGTGTTCATGAATATCAAGACGATAAACTTTTACATGAAAGATTTGTAAAAAACTTAGTATAATTTCATAGATTAAGTTTCTAAGAGATTGGAAATGAATTGTTTTTTTCACAAGTTCATAATGTCATAAGTATGTTGAAGAGGTTCGATGTGTTTAATAAAACCTCATGCTAAGACGAATGTAGACTTGAATCTACACTTAGCTAAAAACCAGGAATAATTAGTTTATCGACTAGTATATGCTCAATAATTGAAGGATTGAGGTACTTGCTGGATAGTATTCGCTCCAATATTGCATTTTAGTGAGTAAACTAACAAGGTTTATGAGTCACTCGAGCTATGAATTTTGGTCATGCTAAATCGAGCATTGGACATGAAAAGCTCTAAGACCAAAAGTGATTCCGTGTTCACTTTAGGTGGGTAGAGTTGTGTTGTGAAAATAATCAAAGCAAAAAATTTGATACACAATGAAGTCCCAGTTTTTAAATTTTGGCATATATGCGTCAATAAATTAATTTGGTAAGAAAAAATGTCATATGTAGGGGTTATAGCAGTTGACTACGTGATGTCAGAGTTAACCTAACAGATCCATTTACAAAAGTATGAAATGTAATAAAAAGTGCAAACTGGTTAGATAAATAAGCTTAACAAAATTCACAAGAAATGAATGTTAGGATATTTGGCCCAGTAACCAAATCCTTATCTCAGGCCCAAGGAAGTCTCGGCCCATATTCCCGTCTGGGCCTGGCCCTTTACCCACTTACCTGGCAGAATGTCCTTGACCGTTGGATTTAGGGGATTAATCCCAGCTCTCCATCCTAGCCTTAAATACCTCACACTCTAACCCTAAATCAGATTGCACTCATCTCACCTCTCTCTCTTACCTGCTGCGCGACAGATTCTCTCTCTATGAGTGAACCACACCGATCGATCTCCTCTCTTAATCTGTTCTTCGTGACCACCTTTGAGAGAGCCACTGTGAGAGACACTATGAGAGCCGTCGGAGTGCCGCCGTCTTGTCGCCTCTGTACCGTCGCACCGTCGTCTAGCTCTAATCGCCGGCAAGAGTCCGTTGGGCTTCCAGGCGAGTCTCTCTCTGAGACGTGAGCTTAGGTGACAGGGTGACCGGGTGCGTGGATCGTGTGTGAGGTGCAGCCCGGGGATTGGGTCGAGGAACCGGGGCTGCCGTCCGTTGGCCACCACCGAGCCGCTACTTACCGAGGGTGCCGGGAAAGAGGATAATCTGAGCCGGGAGACTTCGTGTCGTCATTATCCGGCCAGATTTCGGTCGAAAGGGAGTTCTTCGTTCCTTCACTTTCATTTTATTTTTCCAGCATTTTACTTAGTATATATTTTTCCCTTTTCTTGCTTAGTTTGCTTGCTGTTAATTCTTTGTGTTGTGTGTTGTTATTTGCAGCTGAGAACGAGTAAAACCGGGCTGAAACAGGAGCTAGAAACGAGCGGCTGAAACCAGCCCGAGAGTTCGGACAGCATACCGAGAGTTCTGAACACACGAGCAGCATTCTGAGATAGTAGAGGGCTTGCATTGCGGACAGACGAGCAAAGAGACGAGCTTCCGCTGCGTACGAGTCAACCGGTGGGAACGGGACGACCACTTAACAGTGGTATCAGAGCCGTCCCGCCACCGCAGGTAAGTCGAGCACCTACGTGTTAGGGCTCGCTCTGGTATTGGCTCTAACTCATCCTTTTTACCGCTTTCTTATTATTGTAGACCCTGGACGGGGATTGCATCCAGAGAATAGGATTATTGTAGCCTCTGGACGGGGATTGCGTCCAGGGAATAGGATTGCGTGTTGGGAATCTAGCTGCTAGATCAATAGGTTAGATATGCATGCTATGTGTTAAGTGTGTTTATCATTGTTGCTCTGCCTGTGGCTATTTTTCTGTGTTTCTAGCATTAAATTGTGTATTTTTTGTTGTCTTGCTGCTTAATTTCGGTGAAATCTTCTTCGTGTTGAATTTCTGCTGTTTTTTTAGCTTGGATGTTTAATTACTGCTGTGCATTGTGCTGGAAATTGCCTGTTAAAATTGTTGGATTTCTGTTATTTTTTTAGTCTTTGTGCATCATTTTTTGCTGCTGAAAATCAATTATGCTGAAAACTGCGTGTTTAAACTGCTGAAATTTGATTTGGACTGAATTCTCTGTGAATTTAATTGCTGAAAAATCTGATTTTGGGCTGAAAATTGAGTGTGTTAATTGCTGAAATTTGTGCTAGTATTTTCTGTGAAATCTGCTGTGTTTTCTGTGAAAATGGCTTCGTTTCCAGCTTTTAATGTGGCCCCGTGTGACGGGAAATCTGATTTTTCAATTTGGCAACAAAAAATGAAAGGGATTTTAATTCAGCAGAGGGTGTTTAAAGCCGTTGAAGGCTCGTTTCCACCTGATGAACCTTCTGATAAAATTGCTGAAATGGATCAATTTGCTTATTCGTCAATTAACTTGAATTTGTCTGACTCTGTGCTTAAGAAAGTTGGTAAACTTGATTCTGCTAAAGACTTGTGGGAAAAATTAGAAGAATTATATACTGAAACTTCGTTGCCGAGTAAATTGTTCTTGCTTGAAAAAATTTTCCGATTTAAACTTGATCTTTCGGAAGATATTGATGAGAATCTCGATGTGTTTACTAAACTTGTTCAGGACATTAAATTGACCGGTGATAAGCATATTGATGATTATACTCCTATTGTGCTTTTAAATGCTATTCCTGATTCTTACAGTGATGTCAAATCTGCTATTAAGTATGGTAGGGATAATGTGACACTTGACACTGTTGTGAATGGATTAAAAAGTAAGGAGTTAGATTTAAAAGCTCATAAGGGGGGTAAAAATTCGGGTGAAGTTCATTTTGTTAGATGTCGACAACAAAATAGATTTTAAAATCAAAAGCCTTCTAATAATAATGGTAACCAACCTGAAAAGAAGAAAGGTAAAGGAAAAAGTCATTCTAAATCCCATCTGAAAAATCGTAAGTGTTACAATTGTGGTGACGTTGGGCATTATGCTAAAGAGTGCACTAAACCTAAAAAGAATCAAGCTAATGTGGCCTCGTGTAGTGATAATCTTGGTGATGTGTTTGTCGTGACTGAAATATGTGATATGCATGATAATGTGAATTCTATGCATTCTTATCTTTGTGAAAATGAATGGCTTGTTGATTCCGGTTGCACTTTTCACATGTCTCCATATAGAAATCTGTTTTCAAACTACAAAGAGGTTAAAAATGGCTCTGTTTCTATGGCAAATGAAAAACTTTGTGATGTTGCTGGTATTGGTGATGTGTGCCTTAAGTTTAATTCCGGTTATGTGCTTTGTTTGAAAAATGTTCGTCATGTTCCTGACTTATGCCATAACTTGATCTCTTGTGCTGCTCTTGAGGATGACGGGTTTGAGGGTAAATGGGGTAAAGGGGTTATGAAAATTCTGAAAGGTTCATTGGTTATTTTCAAAGCTGAAAAACGGAAAAACTTGTATATTTGCACTGCTACTTGTGAATCACATGCTGAAATTTCTGTGAATGTTGTTCATGTAGACCAAACTGATCTTTGGCATAGACGTTTAGGTCATATGAGTAGTCGTGGTCTTGAAATTTTGCATAAAGCGGGCTGTTTTGGTAAAGATAAATTATCTTGTGTGCCGTTTTGTGATTCTTGTGTACTTGGCAAACAACAACGTGTTAATTTCCTGTTTCACCTTCCCCTAAACCCTCTATGTGTTCGGAAATTCTTGAATATTTGCATGCCGATGTTTGGGGTCCCGCTAGTGTTCCGACACATGGCGGGAGTAGGTATTTCTTGTCTGTGATAGATAATTTTTCAAGAAAAGTCTTTGTGTTTCTTTTGAAAAATAAATCTGATGTTTTCGAAACGTTTAAGACTTGGAAAACCTTGATTGAAAACCAAACCGG